TCATATGTTATTTCATTAAATTCTTCTGTATCTGCCAATTCCTTTCAATACAATGACTCAGTATATTCTTTACATCTTCTTTTAATACTTCCTGGATCATTTAATATTCTGCCTAAAGCATCCTGGATTATAGCAACTCTAGGTTTGAATTTGTTCTTCAGTTCCTTGAGCTTAAGAAATGCTGAACGAGTTTGGCCATTTTTATTTTCCAACTCTAGCTCCTCGCACCTTTCATTGTAATATTTTGCTTTGTCGTTCCGAGCTGCCTTTTGGAATCTTCTGTTCAACTCTTTAGTATCTTGAATTCTTCCTTGTGCAGTAATGTTTTGTAATTTTATTTGGGTAGATCTTTTGTATTTCCTGTTATGTTTACTCCCAAGTATTTAATCTTGTGATTAGCTTCTGTGAAGGTCATTGTTTTTCTGAGCTCCAGTTCTATATTCTTGTTGTCACTGTAAAAAAATCCACATGATTTTTGTATGTTCATCTTGTATCCTGCCACTTGGCTCAATTGGTCAACTATGTGCAATAGTTTTCTTGCTGATTCTTTAGGGTTTTCTAAGTATACTATCATATTATCTGCATATCGAGATAATTTTATGTCCTTTTTGCTAAGTTGGATACCTCTGATATCTTTCTTTTGTCTTATTGCTATTGCTAAGACTTCCAATACAATATTGAATAGGAGAGGTGATAGTAGGCATCCTTGACTAGTTCCTGTTCTCAGAAGGCCTTTAATCTCTCTCCATTTATAAGAGTATTGGCTCTTAGGTTTGCATATATACTTTTTACTTTGTTGAAGAAATTCCCCTCTAATCCTATTTTGTTGAGTGTTTTAATGAAGACATGGTGTTGGATTTTGTCAAAGGCATTTTCTGCATCAATTTATAGGACCATGCTTTGTTAATGTGATGACTCACATTCTTTTTCTTATGTTGAACCATCCTTGCATACCTGTTATAAATCCCCCTTGGTCATGGTGAATTATTTTTTTAGGTTTCACTGGATTCTATTGGCCAGGATTTTTGTATCTATGCTCATGAGAGATATTGGCTTAGTTTTTTATTTTGGTGGTGTCTTTTCCAGGCTTTGGTATCAAGGATATGTTTGCTTCATAGAATGAGTCTTAGAGAATTCCGTCTTTTTCTATTTTCTGAAATAGTTGATGTAGAATTGGTGACAGTTCTTCTCTGAATGTTTGATAAAGTTCACTTGTAAAACCATTTGGTCTTGGAATTTTTTTGGCTGGAAGTTGTTTTATTACCTTTTCAATTTCTTCTTTCATAATGGGTCTGTTCAGGAGTTCCATTTTGGTTTGTGTCAGTTTAGGTACGTTGTACATTTCTAAGTATTTGTCCATTTCCCCTAGGTTTTGAGTTTTTCATAATATTCCATTGTTAGCCTTTTTATTCTAGTTAGTTCTGTTGTGATGTTGCCACTTGCCTTGCTCTGGTCTGGTCTGTACTTGCTCTGGTCAGTCCTCGCTCCAGTCTGTCCACCTGTGTTTTATTAACTATGCAAAGGCATCTGGTTGTATGGATCCTAACAATTTGTGGGTAATTTTACAAAGAAGGTAAATTGCATAACGCTTGTGCTCATTCAAAACCTTTACATAGGCCAAATAGCAGTCATTTGAACAGAACAAGGAGACATTATATGGTTTAAAATAGATAAGGTGTGTGTCGTGGTGGTACCTGCTCAATATATTTATTCAATCTGTATGCTGTAAGAAACAAGACTATATAAAAAAATGTGGCATTGAAATTGGAGGAAGAATTACTAATAATCTGTGATATGCAGATGACAGAATCTTACTTCCTGGGAGTATTTCCTGATGAAAAGCAAAGATTACAGCTGTCAATATGGATCATATTTCAATATACAGAAAACAAAAATCCTCAAGTCAATCAATAATCAACAGTATGATTAATAATTGCAGAAAAGATAGAAGTTGTGTGAAGGATTTAATTTTACTTGAATCAATAAGCAAAGCCCATATAAACAGCAGTCAGGAAATCAAATTAATTGTTACATTGGATAAATATTCTACAAGAGATATGTTTGGAATGTTTAAAAGCAGAAATGTCTCTTTGGGGACTAAGTCCCCAATAGAATTGTATTTTCAATTACTTTATAAGCATGTAAAAATTGGTTATTGAATAAAGAAGAGAAACTGGCTCTGTAGAATTATGATGTTGATGAAAAATAAAAAAATATACCATGAACTATCAGAAATAGATACAAATGTACCTTGGAGGAAATATAGTCAGAATTTACTTAGCATGAATGATGGCAAGACTTCATCTCCCATACTTTGAACACATTATCAGGAGAGACAGTTGGGAAGTAGAAAAAAAAATTAATATCCTGTTCAGTAATAAAGATTGATAAACACTGAGCTCAAGCATAGCGATCATTGTGAGGAAGACCTAGAACCAGGCAATAGTGGCATAGCTTGTAAGGAGTTAACACTGTTAACCCAAAGGCTGTTATCTTTCCTGAAATCCAAACCTACTAGAATCTCTGTGGGAAAAAGAAAAACATTCTCCTCTCATGTGAGTTACAACCTCTGATTTTTTTTTAGTTATAACCTCTAAAAACCTATTGGAGGGTCAGCTGAATCAGTTCTGACTCAACAACAATGAGTTGAGTACTTAAGTTTGCTTTAGCTGTCAAGTTGCTTTCTTTAACTGTCAAGTTGGAACCAAGTATTAAGTTGCATATCACAGGTTATTAGTGTTACAATACTTTCAAACTAATATTCACAAATATGTCTTAGAGAGAGTGCTGCCGGAGTGCTCTTTGGAAGCAAGGATGGTGAATCTTTGCCTCACAAGCTTTGGGCATACTGGTAGGAGGGGCTATTCCTTGGAGAGGGACATGATGCTGAAAGGATGGAGGGTCGGTGAAGGACAGGAAGACTCTCCATCAGGTGGATTGATATGGTGACTGCTGCAATGAGATCTTGTGTGTCAGGAAGCGTGAAGATGACACAGGATAGGGCAGGGTTCAGATCTACTATGAGTCATACCTGACTCAATGGCACCTAACAACAACAATATTCACAGAAACCTAGGAAATATTTATATGCATGTTTTTAAATTTCATACAATAGTCTGCATAATTTGTTTAGTGTTTTATTCATGTAAATTTTTTTGCCCCCTCTCACCAAACTCTGTGAGTCCACCACTCCTCCCCCTTCAGTCCCACCCCTTTTCCCTCTTTGGAAGTAGATGCTTCTTAAACATTGTTATTGTTGTTATATGCCTTTGATTTGGAACTAACATAACTCATGGCTCACCTTCCAACAGATTTTCAGGGGCAGTGACCTGCACAGGAGTCGGCTGCTCTTCTTTCTCTTGTGGAATAGCATGCAGGTAGATTCAAACCAAGGGCCATTAGGCTGGCAGCACAGCTCCTTATCATTTAGCCACCAGATCTCCTTTAAGGGTATTAGGTTAGGGTGAAAGAATACATGGATCATCCTGGACTTTAAAAAAGAGAAAGTTTGGATTCAATATGCTACTTCAACGAACTGGGAGTAGCCTGGACAATTTGACGAGAAACTGGATCTAGAGGTGGCAGACATGAAGAAAGTAGAGATGATCAAATTTGCTTGTAATACAGTTGTTGTTGTTGTTAAGTGCCGTTGAGTCGCAGGCGACTCATAGTGACCCTATGAAAGAGAGTCCTCAATGCTTGGGTGTCTCTATCCTCTCTCCATGTTCATAGGGTTTCCGGAGGCGAGCTATTATGGAAGTGGATGCCACTCCTCCTTCCAAGCTTGTTTTCATCTGGGAGCTCCACCCTACTCTCTGTCTGCATTGGATAAGCAGCCATTAACGCATTTGACACACATCAGTGTCACAGTGTAATACCGTAGTGTAGAGGAATGTATGCAAAAGTTCAGGAAGTACAGAATTTGGTCTTGGATGGGGCAAATTATCCCAACTGTGAAACATAAATCGAACTGCAAAAAATGCAAAAAAGGAACAGTATGTCTAGAATTCTAGAAGTCCTCTAAGGTCCTTTTTATTACTAGCCCATGAGCTGATTAGTTAATGGAAAATTACAACTCAATACAGGCAGCATAGTGGATAGAATAGATCCTTTAGGAGAATAAGAGTGAGTCATGCAACCAGGAAAGTTGAAGTTCAGATAAAGTTCTTGATAAAGACAAAGGAAAAAAAAAAAGTAGGTTATAAACACCTGACCGTATTAGGTCCTTGTTGAAGAGACACTGTACATTGGCTATGAGAATTTCTTTGTTGTTCTGACAGAAATATATTTGTTTGATCCTTTTTTCTTTACTCACTTAATAGCTAGCATAACATGTGTTGGTGTAGGTTAATCCCATATTTTAGTAGAAAAATGTTAACGTCTATACATATAACAACAATGTATGAACTAATCTAGACATATAATTGCCATTAGAACAAAACAAATTACTAACATTAAAGGGAAAATATTAATGAAAGAGGCATGAAAAATTGAAAAGCGGGAATTTTACCCAGTCTGCAAACAATCAAGTCAGTTTGCCACAGTTCCAGGGCAGAAGACATAAGACTCTCAGAGTAGAGATAAAGGATTTTATTAGTTACAGCAATTCCACTAACCAGAGATTGATTTTATTTTCGCATCAGACCTCTGGGCTTTAATTTTCATAGGACAACATGGAGAGAGCCAGATAACATCTGCACATACAATAGGCTGTGCTATTATAGGGAAAAGACTCTAATTTTAGGGAATTCAGAAGTTTTATCATGAGCAGCGAACATGCTTGCCTTTTGCTCCAGAGTAGGACACCATCTTCATCTTCAATGGTTTTTATAAGCAAACATCCTTTAAAAGTCTACGTTCATTAGTTACGCAGAAATGTCAGAGATATAGGAAAAACTGTCTCCCCACAGGAAGTTTCACATATTTTATTGAAAAATCTAAGAAATCATGTGAATCATGTACAATATTTTCTCACAAGAAAAATTTTAAGCTGACATTTTAACGTTTCACAGAATTGTAAAACTTTTTCATTTTTTTAAAGGAAGAAGTACAATGAAACTACAAGGTTGGTAAGTCTTTTTTGGTTCTTTGTTCCTAGGGAAAAAGTTGAAAAGTATTTAGTAAATATTCTCAAAATATTTTGTGAGGTTAAATACTACACTTTTAAAACCCTGCAAAAAAAAAAATAATGACACAAGGATATGGGTGAAATCAATTTTTTTTGTTAAAAATATTTTTTAAAAAACTAAAATCTAATGACAATATGTTAAAATAATACCTATTTTTGTAAGATGTTACCATTTCTATAATGGTTTCTCTACACTATTATCAACAGTGCAATGGTGATTCAGTGTAAATCTTTACAGTGTTTCATTGTTACAATACTTGTGTTCAAGTACATGTTCATGAACATGATCAAAGTCTCTATTTTGACTTCCTTTCCATTATTAAAATAAGGTTATAATTACAGTAGAATATTTTCCTATTGATATCTCTGTATCTGAAACAAAATTCATAATACATTCTCTGAAAACTTGTTCAACAGTATGAGGTTATTTATGTTCCATAGATTACAGAAAATAGGCTAATTCTGCATCAGGACACCAAAAAATGTTTTCTCTCTCCATAGTTCTAAGCTATTACGCTAACTTAGTATAGATTCTAAAAAACTCAAAAGTATTTGTGGAGAGAAAATAGCACCTTAGAGACAGTTCTAAATTTTTAACAAATTTTGAAAGAATTTAATGATTTTTTTTCATTTTATCCCAGTAACTGGATCCAACTTATTAATATAAAATTAAGTCATACTAGATAAGGCATGATGTTTGTATAACCAACACAACATCACAAGGATGTTTGGCAGGCAAAAAAAATAAATTAATTTGATTAAATTATATGCAATCTGATAATATTTGGTCTGAAAAACATGCTAGTGTGTGTGTGCTTATAAATAAAGTAACTGCAAAGGGCTGGGAGCCAGCCGTCCTGCTGGGGGTCAACTCTTCTGCTGGAGCTTTTGGGCATAGAAGTCCCTGCACGTCTCACAGCAGCGCTGATACCACCGCATGTCCTGACAGAGGTTCTTCTCGCGGATCACTCGGCAGTACACTGGCCACTGGTCTCCCAGGCACTTGAACGTCAGAGCAGCTGACAAAAACCAAGAGAGAGTGATTGAAACTACATGTAGACAGTTAGCTGTCATTTTCATTCAGAGATTGCCATGGAGTCAGAACTGATGCACTGCTGACCCTTCAGATGGTTTCAGAAGCCATAAATAGTATGAGCGGAGGTTGCCCCTCTTACTCCAAGTAGAGCGCTTGTTGGAAAAGAACCACCTGAGAGGCGTGGTCTTTTCGTTACCAGTACAACTCCCTAAAGACTAAGCCTTTAGGGGAAAGGTTGCAATCATTTATATAGAAGGTAGAGGGAGTAACGTATTTTTTTGTTTCAACTTATTCACGTCTAGGTTTCCTAAAAGTGAATGATAAACTCAGCCACTGATGATCCAGTACAGGAGATAGGGAAATTCTTCCAACTACTACGCGCATGTGCATGCGCGCTCTTGCACTCTCTCTCTCAACTCATTGCCTTTCAGTCAGAACTGACCTATAGCTAACCCTCCAGCATGTTTTTAGAGGTTGTAAATCACACAGGAAGAGATTTCCCATCTTTCGGTCACTAGGCAGCTGATGAGTTCAATTGCCTTGAGTTGGCAGTGCAGTTCTTACCCACTCAGCCTCCAGAGCTCTCTAATAATAAAGGACTAGGTTAATGAATAATGATCTGATTTATGTGTGTTCTTAGGTAAATTTGAAGAGTCACCATCATTACCACCAATTGCCACCAAACTGAGTCTGCCTCATGACGGTCCCCTGTGGATGAGAGTAGAATTGTGTTCTGTAAAGTTTTCACTGGCTGATTTTTATCCCCCCTCAAGTTGATTTTCAGGCCTTTCTTTGGTGGCACCTCTCTGTGGCTGCAACTCTGCATTGTTGCAGTTAGCGGCTCAGAGTGTTGGAAGACTGCACCGCCTTATTAAAGAGAGAGTCTTGAGTTAAAGAAGAGGTACTACAAATGATTTTTAAGTTTTAATTTTATAGCTTGTGATAAAGCTATTTTTTTATTTTAAGATAGTGGATAAATATGAAAAAATACATGTGCTTATTATTATGGGAGCTCTGGTGGCCTAGTGGCAAGAAGATGTGCTGCAATTCCTGAAGCACGTGGTTCAAGGTCACCAGCTGTTCTACTGAAGAAGGATGGCCAATCTTCTTCCTTGCAATAACTGACTCTGAATACCTGCCAGAGGGTCAGCTACATAGGTCAGTTCCAACTCTATGATACACAAACAACAACTTACTATAATACCAGTATGGGAATATGAATTAAGTATTGTGGTTTGCACTGCTCACCCAAAGGCCATGCTTCTCTGATGACTTGAATCCACCAGAATCTGAAGGAGAAAGACAGACAAACTCCTCCTGTTTGATTTACAGTCTCAGAAACTAAATGAAAGGTCAGCTCTGTGTCTGTTCTAACTTGACATCAATTATGTTATATATGAGTTTCCAAGTTACAATAAAATTAAAAAGACATATTGTTGTTATCGTTATATGCTGTTGAGTCACCTGCAACTCATAGCGACCCTATGTACAGCAGCCCTAAACCCTACTCTATCCTGTGCCAATATTGTCTCTGACACACGCACTCCCACTACCCCAATCACTGAATCAATCCATCTCATCGAGGGTCTTCCTCTCCTGCACTGTCCTTCCACTCTCCCAAGCATAATATCCCTCTACAAGGACTAGTGCCGCCTTGCGACATGTCCAAAGTATGTCAGACAAAGCTTCAGAATCCTTGCCCCTAAGGAGCAGCCTGGTCTCACCCTCTCTAGTATGATTCTGTTTATGCTATTAGCAGTCCATGGTACATTCAATACTCTTCTCCAAAACCAAAGCTCAAAGACATTTATTCTCCTTCTATCATTCTTAATCATTATCTAGCTTTCTGATGCATAGCAAGTTGCTGCAAAGATTATAGCCTGGATCAGGCACACCTTAGTCTCCAGACTGACATCGTTGCTCTTCAGTACTTTGGAGATGTCTCCAACAGTCGACTTTGTCTACTGTAATTTGTCTTTTAATTTCCTGGCTGCTGGTACCAAGAGAATTGATTGTAAAGCCAAGCAAACGAAAGCTTATAACAATCGCAATCTCTTCACAATCTATCATGATGCTGCCAATCAGCCCAGTGGTGAGAATCTTTGTTTTCTTGATGTTGAGCTTCAATCCATATTAAATAGCAAACCAAAAAATATGCTCATACTTTATTTCACATCCTTAGTTTACTAGAAGGCAGACAGATCTGTATTGGGTAGCTGGAGATAGTGGTTTCAGGAATTTTTAATATCAATGCTGATCATCACTAAATTCATAACAGTAAAGTGTTTACATTGATAACTTGGCATAGAAAATGTATTTATGTAGATATGGCTTTAAAGAGAAATAGTGCACTCTGATTGCACATTCCAATATGATTCCGGTTGTTGTTAGGTGTTATAGTGTTGGCTCCTATTGGTAACAACTCTCTGTACAACAAAATGAAACTCTCCCTCATCCTGTGCTATCTGCTCCACCCCTGCAGGACTGAAACACGTTACTACAAGCACTGGGTCAGTTCATCTTGTCAAGAGAGGATACACTATTTTAATTAAAAGTCTTAGTTGTCCCAACCATTGTTCTTCTGTTTTGATCTATACCTTCAAGGTAAAAACAAAAAGTGTATTCTAATGACATTCTTCTTTCAATCTACTATTTTCTACTATGTAACACATTAAGAGGGACTTCAAATAAGAGTTGGAAAAAAGGAATTAGTGTACTTTCTTAGGATACTTGGACTTGGTGAATCTGCCTTAATATTGCATAAGTAATTTGTCTTTTTTATTATAGAGCTGACTTTCTTAGAAACATTATTTAGCTCAAAAAAGCAATTTGGATTTTTATAAAGAACTAAATGTTTCCATTTGATTGGATCTTATTGTAAGAAAAATACTTATGACTGTTTAACTCATTGTGTTTTGGCAATATAATTCTAATTAAAATGGCTTCTCTAAAGACTGTATAACGACACAGAAAGAGCTATGCTGGCCTAATGGACAGAAAGTTATGCTACCAAGCCGAAGGTGGGTGATTTTAATCTGCAGCCCTCAGGCCTAGTTCAAGTTGTTTTCCTGTCAAGCATTCCTGTAGGTGGTATAACAGTGGTCTGTGCTGTACAGAGGTAACTTTTGGTTGCTGTGATGCTGAATACTGGGACACTGACGTGCCAAATGTGATAATGGTTACCCATGGTGGACGGTGTTTGCTGGAGCTTCCCGACTAAAACAAGCCTTGAAGCAGGAGCAGCATCCACTTCCGAAATGGCTTGCGTCCGGAAACTCTACGTATGAACAGTGAGCGCTCAGGCCTTTCGTTCATAGGGTTGCTATGAGTCGTCTATGACTCGATGGCACCTAACAACAACAAAGACTGTATGGTGTTCTTATTATGTATTGCTATTCTTTCCAATAAATCTGACAAAGGAAACAACCTAGATTTAGCTAAAATGTTGTTGTGTGCCATCAAGTTGGAAATGACTCATAGCTGACCCTCCAGTGGGGTTTTAAGGCATTGATTCATATAGAAGGAGTTTGCCCATCTTTCTCCTGTGGGAAAGCTGGTGGATTTGAACCACATGCCTTTGGATTAGCAGAACAGTTTACCACTAGGCCACCAGAGTTCCCTGGGAACACTATACCTTCCAGTTAAAAGTGAAGATGTTCCCACTGAAAGTGATCCCTGTGTGTGGACTAAAACGGCTTCCTAGAATTTTTAAGACTACAGCCTTTCAGAAGCAGATCTGTAGGCTTGTGGGAAGGTTTGAACAACTACTACTCATTAGTGGGACATTGCTTAAACATTTAAGCCATCCAGGTCTTCCTCCAAAACTAAAGCTGTCAAATGGAAATTAAGCTCTAAGAGCTAGGTAAAACTCCAATTGCTACAGAAATAAAGGTTAGTTCATTCACTAGTATTTATTATGGAAGCATAAGCTTTCTACTTAAAATAGAAATCTATTCTTGAAGATGGATTCTAACAGAAATTGAGAATACATTTAAAATAATTTTAAAACATAAAATGCATATAAATATTAATGTTATCAGAATTTCTTTTCAATTAATATTTATATCCTTTGCTGTTATAGTTATGTGCCTGCCAAGTTGCCTGTAACCTTATGTACAGCAGCTCTGAACCCTGCCCTGTCCTGAGCCAGACTTACTAATTCCGACACACCAACCCCAATTGCCCCACTCACTGCTATCAATCCATCTCATCCAGGGTCTTCCTCTCCTGCTCTGTCCCTCCACCCTTCCAAGATTGATGTCCTTCTCCAAAAACTGGTCTCTCCTGGCCCTGTGCCCAAAGTAAATGAGACAGAGCTTCAAAGTCCTAGCTTCCAAGGAGAAACTTGGTTTCGCCCTGTCCAAGACAGACCTATTTGTTTTCTTGGCAGTCCATGGTAGGTTCAAGACTCTTCTCCAGCACCACAACTCAAAGGCATTGATTCTTCTTCTGTCATCCTTAGTCACTGTCCAGTTCTCTGAAGCATAACAAGTAATTGAGAAGACCATGACATGGATTAGGTGCCCTTTAGTCTCTAGACCGACATCGTTGCTCTTCAGCACTCTGGCGAAGTACCTGACAACAGATTTTCCCAATGCAATACAACTTTTGATTTTTCTGACTGCTGATGTTAAGAGCGTTGATTGTGGAGACAAGCATGCAGTAATTGTTAACAACTTATATCTCTTCTTCATCTATCATGGTGCTTCCAACTGGGCTGGTGGTAAAAATTTTTGTCTTTTTTATGTTGAACTTTGAAGACTACAGTTCTTGACCTTCTGCTGCAAGCGCTCCAAGTCTTCAGTTTCAGCAAGCAAGGTTGTGCCATTTGCATAATGTATGTTGTTGATGGGTCTTTCCCCAATCTTGATGCCACATCCCTCCTCATAAAGCCCTGTTTCCGGAATGATCTGTTCTGCATATAGACTGAGTAGTTATGGAGACAAGATGCACCTCTGATGCACTCCTTTCCTGAGTTTGAACCATGCAGTGATTCCCTGCTCTGTTCTGAGGACTGCTTCTTGGTCCAAGTGTAAGTTTCAGATGAAAAATATAGTTCTGGTTCAGAAGTGAATATAGATATCCTGATTTTTCCTGACAGCCACATTACAGTTTTTACACTTTAAAGTTAATGTTTGTCCAGGATTACAGAAAAATAATTAAAATTAGGAGTCCTAAAGCTTATACCGCAACCTCACCTTTCTACAGATATTTGCTTAATTGATAATTCTGTCACAAAACTATGGTTACATACATCAACATTTGAAGTGTCAGTTGACTTCCATAAAGAAATCTTTGAAACTTTATGTTGTTATTTTTGCTAAGTGCTTTCAAGTCTACTGTGACTCATAGAGCCTCTACGAACAGTGGATCTGAACCTTGCCCTACCGTGTGCCATCCTTATTATCTCTGACACACTAAAGTCCACTGTTACAGTCACTGTATTAGTCCATCTCATTGAAGGGCTTCCTCTCTTTTGCTGACCCTCCACATTTCCAAGAATCATGTCTATACATTTAATCTATCCTAGGGGTTCAATCCTGGAGAGAGGATGAAAGGCACCCAAGTGTTGAGGACTCTTCTTCATAGGGTCGCTGAGTTGCCTGCGACTCAACGGCACTTAACAACAACAACAACAACAACAGGGGTTCAATACAAACTGGAATTGACTCAAAGGCAATGCCTCACTATGTATGAAGAAATAAAATTTCTTGAGAACTAAACTAATTGATATAACTTTACTACTCTAAAGTATTAAAGTGATACTTGAAATAGAAGAAGCTAGGAGCATTATTTTGTTTCTGATAAATCATCCCAGTTTTTGGTTTGCTTACCCAGTCTAGGTGATGTTATTGTATTTACATTGATCTTCTCATTGCAGGGCTGAAGGTGACATGGTCGGTATGCTGCAGGTTTTTCTGAAGAAAAACACTCATTTCCATGTCGTCCTGTGATTTTATGCATACACTGGATAACACGGGACTGCATTCCCTTACCACAGGTGATGGAGCACTAGGAGAGACAGAAGTTGTATTACAATTCCTTCTTAACCCTTCTTTCTTCTAGTCTGCAAGTCACTTTTCACTATTTTTTTAAAAATGAATATGAATCAGAGCATCAGAGTTGATGTAAAACATTGGTTAGAAAGAGTGATACTCATAATGGGCACAATGCTGGTCAGGTCTAGCTTAAAGCAACAACTTCTTTTGGGTAACAACTGACCAGGGGGGAAAGAATAGTAAAGACTGGAGAGTATAATTTGAAAGGAAAGAGAAGCATAAAAAGTCAAATGGCACTCGTCACACACATAAGCAGTCTTGGCTTTCAATGCTCTAATGACCAACTGTCAACAATTCATTATCATTTAGTTACAGATGCACAAATGTCTGAATATACCCAATTGTGGAGCTGGATGGTTCCTAAAATCTTTCTATTTGGTCATGTTACTTTGTTTGTCAACCAATATCAAGAAGGAGTATCAAGTTGATTATTATTGCCATACCTGATGTGTGTGTGTGTGTGTGTGTGTGTGTGTGTGTGTGTAGACTGAACGGCATCCATATTGTGTGAAAAAATGATAATGAAAGTCTGCAGTTAGGGACCTCTCTAAAGTACTCAAGAGCAACGGTGTCTCTCTGGAGACTAAGGTGCGCCTGATACAGGCCATGGTCTTTGCAATCACTTGTTATGCATCAGAGAGTTGGACAATGACTACGGAGGATAGAAGGAGAATTGACGCCTTTGAGCTGTGGTGCTGGAGAAGAGTATTGAATGTACCATGGATTGCCAAGAAAACAAACAGATTCATCCTAGAGAGGGTTAAATCAGGCTACTCCTTGGAGGCAAGGATTCTGGGGCTTCATCTGACATACTTTGGACATGTTGTAAGGAGGGACCTGTCCTTGGAGAAGGACATCATGCTTGGTAAGGTAGAGGGACAGCGCAGGAAGGGAAGACCCTCTGTGAGATGGATTGATTCGGTGACTGGGGTAATCAGGATGGGTGCACCAGAGGCAATGTGATTGGCCCAGGATAGAGCAGGGTTTAGGGCTGTTGTACATAGGGTCGCTATGAGTCACAAATGACTCGACGGCACCTAACAACAACAACAACAGGTTGTTCTTTCAGAATTTACCATTAATTAATCTCTTCTCTTTCAGCTAATGGGAACTCTGGTGGCCGAGGGGTAAGGAGCTATGCTGCCAACCCAAATACACATAGTCAGAAGCTACCAGCTGCTCTATGGGAGAAAGATGGCACTCTCCTTTCATGTAATTTAATGCTCTGAAAACTCACAGGAGGGTCAACTATAAGTTGGTTTTGACTCAGTGGCACAAAACAACAAAAGCAAAATTTCAGCTGCCAGTTGATTTTGTTTTCAGATTGTAGAAAAGAATAGCATTATTTGGTGTGCACTGTCCTTTTACTAGAGCACTATTCTTTTAGATCCATGTACATTATCAGGTTTAATTCGTGATACAAATAAGCAGACAAAAAATATTATTGAGAGGATGCACTAACTTTATCATATAAATTATATTCATGAGAGGATGTGTTCTTGAGTTTCTGAAAACAGTAATGTACTCACTATGCATATTATTTTCTATACAGTACTTATTTAATAAAAACTGGCATAAGAAATGAACTCCATCAGTAGAAATCATCTTAATTAAGAATCTGTAAATATTTTAGTTGAAAGTTGACAAATATTTCTTTATTTTGACAAATCCTTCTGATTGTCACTTTTTAGATACACAGACATAAGATTCTTAATTTTTTTCCCTCTGAATTTTATCAATTCATTCCTAGACTTACATCCTCTTTGACGCTCATACAAACTATTCATTTTGTCATAAGCCCTCAGTCTTTCATTAAATATTGCTTTATATGTATACTTTGTTAGCACCCCATAATGACTGAGTTCTCCTCTGCCTATAAGATCAAGCACTATCTACTTAATCTTCACTTATTAAATTTCTTGTTGTCTGCAGTTTCACATTCATGAGCATAATAAAAAAATCTACCATACATTTAGCATATTAATAACATACGTCTGGCAGTAATGAATGTTAGAAGCAAGATAAGATGTCTCAAATTGGCTGAGCCATGATTCTTTTGGTTTGACAGTTATGTAATTATGTAACTGGAATTTATGTAATGATATGGTAATATTCACTCTATTATATGATGTGTATGTGGTCATCCTCCATGTTGGATAACTCTGATGTTTTCACATAACAACCTGATCTTTGGATTTTAACTATGCTATTAAGTGAGAAGCAGATGTATCCTAGTATTTTCTGGTTGTCATTTAGCTACCACTTCAATATATTTCTCACCACTTTCCCATAGGAATCATTATAAACTAGCTAATCATGGCTATACAATTCCTCTTACCACTTCTATAGCTAGGGAGCTTTAGTGGCCTAGTGGTAAGAAACTGTGCTGCAATCCCAAAGGTACACACTTCAAATCCACCATCTACTCCATGGGAGAAGATGGGTAATCTCCTCTCATTCAATTTACTGCCTCTGAAAATCCACTAGAGGGTCAGCTATGAATTGATTCTGGCTCAACTGTACAACACCAACATAGATGTGCTCATAATGGTAACCAAGCAGTTGCTGTTATGGTGATGTGACTCACGGGGACTCCATGTGGAATAAAGCTCTGCCCCACAAAGTTTTCATTGTCTGGGATTTTGATACTTTTTAAAAAAAATATTTTGTTGCTGAAAATATACACAGCAAAACATACATGGACTCAGTAGTTCCACATGCACAATTCAAGGACACTGCTTACATTCCTTGAGCTGTGTAATCATTCTCATTGTTCTTTTTTGAGTTGTTCCTCTGTTATTAATACAGCTTGGTGTCTTTTAAGGTTTCTATCTAATCTTTCAAACTTTTATTGTCCGTGTGATCCCATTTAGCAAAAAGCATTTAATTCTCAAGATAGGCAGGGTTCTTTTATTAGTTAAGTTACAGTGTTGCATTCATAGTGAAAAAGATAACTCCAAGGTCTGGCCTAAAATACGATGTTGTGAGTGACAGGATACTATCCATAAGTATATAAAGATGATCTGTTAATACAACTATTTTTCAAATATATGCATCAACAACTGAAGTCAAAGAGGAGGAGACTGAGCATTTCTACCAGTTTTTCTAGTCTGAAATTGACCAAAGATGCACTCAAGATACATTACTAATTGCTGGTGACTGGAATGCAAAAGTTGGAAATAACAAAGATGGAATGGTATTAGAAAAGTTTCTGTCTTGTCAAGAAGACAAAGATTCTCACCACTGGACCAATTGGCAGCATCAGGATGGGTGGTGAAGAGATTGAGTTTGTTCACAGCTTTAGTCTGCTTGGCTCCACAATCAACACTCTTGGCACCAGCAGCCAGGAAATAAAAAGATGCATTGCGATGGGAAAGTCTGCTGTTAGGGACCTCTCTATAGTACTCAAGAGCAATGGTGTGTCTCTGGAGACTAAGGTGCATCTGGTACAGGCCATGGTCTTTGCAATCACTTGTTATGCGTCAGAGAGCTGGATAATGACCAGGGAGGACAGAAGGAGAATTGATGCTTTTGAGCTTTGGTGTTGGAGAAGAGTGCTGAGGGTGCCATGGACTGCTAAAAAAACAGATTCACCCTGGAGAGGGTTAAACCAGGCTGCTCCTTGGAGGCAAGGATTCTGAGGCTTCATCTGACATACTTCGGTCATGTTGTAAGGAGAGACTGGTCCTTGGAGAAGGACATCATTCTTGGGAGGGTGGAGGGCAGGTGGAAGGGGGAAGGCCCTCTGGGAGATGGATTGATTCGGTGACTGGGATAATCGGGATGAGTGTGTCGGAGACAATGAGATTGGCACAGGACAAAGCAGAGCTTAGAGCTGTTGTACATAGGGTCGCTATGAGTCGCAAGCAACTTGACGGCACATAACAACATCAACAACTTGGTGACAGAAATGAGGCTGGACACGGAATGACTAAGTTTTTTATATTCATTGAGTTAGTATCACAAATACCTTTAAAAAAAACACAAAACATGACTTTTTCACATGGGCTTTACCTAGTGGATGAACAGAGATAATACTGGCTACATATATGGAGAGAAAAAAAAATCATTGGAGAAGTTTAGTATCAGCACCCAAAACCAGACCAGGTTCTAACTGTGGAACAGACAATCAATTACTTATATGCAAGTTCAAACTGAAGCTGAAGAAAATTGAAAACAAGCCCAAAAGAACAAAATTAGGACACTGAGTCTATCCCATCTGAATCTATAAATCACCTCCAGGATAGGTTTGGGGCATTGAAAATAATGATAGAAAATCAGATGAGTTAGGGGATGACATGAAGATATCATTCATCAAGACAGCAAAAAGTCATTACAAAGACAGAAGATGAAGAAAAGACCAAAACAGATGTAAGAAAAGACTCTGAAAACTGCACTAAAGAGTCGAGAAGTTAAAACAACAGGAACAAAGGTAGAGTAAAAGAGATGAACAGAAGGTTTCAATGAGTGGCTTGAAAAGGCAAAGAAAAGCATTAAAATAGAATGCTCAAAGAACTGAAGTTGAAGAATAAAAAGGGAAAAACTCACTTGGCATCTCAAGTTGAAAGAACTGAAAATGAAATTCAACACAGAGATCCTATGGGAAAAATCTTGAATGACTGAGGAAGCATCAAAAGAAGATGGAAGGAATATATAGACTGATTATATCAAGAAGAATTGGTTGACACTGAAAAATTTTAGTAAGTAATAAATAAACAAGAGATAATTGTAATGAAGGAATAATTTCAAGCTTTATTGAAAGCATTGTCAAAAAATAAATCCCCAGAAATCGAATGGATACCAATTGACATGTTTCAACTAACATGCAAACCTAGACTTGCTCACCAGTTTATACCAAGAAATTTGGAGGGCAGCTACTTGGTCAACTGACTGGATGAGGTCCATATTTGTTCCCATTCCCAAGAAAAGTGATCCAATAGAATGTGGGAATTA